TCTTTTTTAATTATTTCGACGGGAAAAACAATGTCTATGATTTGTCCAACTAGCTAGCCGAACAGAGCGTGAAATTCTCTATCGATTGGTGTATTTTGTTTTCATTTTAACGCAAATCTCTTGGTTAAGAAATCCAAAACATTGGAAAGCGCTCAAAACCTATTTTCGCTAGGAAAAACTGTTTTAATTATGAAAATCTATATAGACAGACAGAGTCCGCTCCTGTAGTACATCATGTAGCCGGTCTCTCGTACCATCTATATCACCATTTGAATCCATATGTTTGACAGAAGAAAGATACCAAAATATTTTCGTTTAATGTCTGTTTTCTGCAGTGGGGTCCATTTGGACCCCGCTTGGTAGCACAACGGTTAATTTAGAAATGGTTTTGACAGAGATATCTTATGCAGTCGTAACGTTTTTAGTGCAGAGACCTCAATTTCGATGTAGACAACCTGGTACTATCTTCCCTTTTATATTTTCTCTTTACTATAACTGTAAGAGAGCTCAACCTAAAACGTAATACTCCCGTGTCATAAAACGTCAGTATTTATATCCCATCTATAGATGGGATAATCACTTTGTATTAAGGGTTGAAAAAATGTATCTTCAGTGTTTTACAAAATATGTTCGAAGCTGATCCGTGTTGCATCTCAATTAATAAAATGTATCTGAAGTGAGACCCTTTAGCCATACTCTCTTTTTATGAGTAAAATGTCTTTCGAAAGTTACACACGTGTGAATAAGATCGTTTGTCAGAAATAGCATGTACTGTCTACCAAATGGGACACCGTAGTAGACCATTATATAGGACATTAAAATATCAATGTGTTTCAAATTCAAAATTTTTCGATCATTATAGATGCTATTAATGTCTTCATGAAGTGATGATAATAATGGATTGTATAAGAAAGTACAAAAATACATTGAAAGTATTTAGTACCAATGTGGACATAACTGTTTTAAGAAGTTTCATGGTACACATAGTTATGATTTTAATAGATTGCTTATCGATAGTAATAGGCATAAAGAAATCATTTAAATATATATCACAATATTTATTCAATTCTTATCTGCCTAAATATGCAGAACTATTTAATATAAGCAAATAACTACATTTTGTGTTCATTATACATGCCAGTTTCAAATAAAATTCGTTCTCATGCATACAATATGGATTATGTAATTATCGTCAGAATATTATTCTCTCTTTTCCAGCTCTAGTGTAATCATAAACCTGAGTGATAAGCCTTTTTATATGGCAATAAAACGTCAAAGATCAAAGATATACTGGCGTACTGAAAATAATATTGTCCTTTTTCATGTATGATAAAGAACTTGACGTTGACGATGATATTCGGTCTGATTTTTATATGTAAGAATGAATAATATACATGTCTGTAGCAATGTTAAAACTACATTTTGTCACTTATAGTTCAATGTCTGAGTGCAAAAGGAGCAATGTCAGACAATTTTGTGAAAGTGAGTAATACTCTGTTCGAAATAAACGGCGAACGTTACACATATCTAGGCACCAATTTTTGGTATGGTCTCAATCTGGGCTCAGGTGGTCCTGGTGGCGATAGAAATCGATTGATTCGTGAGTTAGATCGTTTAAAATTAATGGGTATCAACAATTTGAGAATTCAGGCAGGCAGCGAAGGGCCGGATACAGAACCTTATCGAATGCTTCCGTCATTACAACGCTCTCCTGGTGACTACAATGTAGAAGTACTGGAAGGACTCGATTTTCTACTGAATGAAATGCGGAAACGGCAAATGTATGCCATCATGTGTTTGAATAATTTCTGGAATTGGTCTGGTGGAATGGCACAATATCTTGTATGGAGTGGAGTTGTAACAACCATTCCATACCCGCCTCCTGCTATAAATGGCAACTGGTCACAGTATCAACAGTTCACTTCTCAGTTCTATTCAAACCAACGTGCTATGGAAATATTTAACGCACATATTCGATTCATTGTAAATCATACAAATACTTATACAAAAGTTGTCTACAAGAATGATCCGACAATAATGGCGTGGGAACTAGCAAACGAACCAAGAGGTGGAATCAATAAGGAGGACTATTTCAACTGGATTAATTCCACGTCAATGCTGATTAAAAATTTAGATCCCAATCATCTTGTCACCATAGGCAGTGAAGGAGCTACATCATCACTCAGTTCAGGAACAAACTTTGAGCGAGACCACTCATTTGTCTCCATTGACTATACGACAATTCACATCTGGGTGCAAAATTGGGACATATATAAGCCAAATGATGCGACAGAAACTTATCCAAAAGCTATTGAATTTGCTCGAAAATACATTGATGATCATGAGAAAATCGCTAAGAATCTGAACAAACCTCTGGTATTAGAAGAATTTGGCATATCTCGAGATCAAAATAGTCACGATCCTCAATCAACAACGACGATCCGTGATAAATATTATACCGAGATATTCGATTACGTGTATAGTAAAGCGGTCAACGGTGGAATAGTTGCGGGATGTAATTTCTGGGCATGGGCAGGAGAAGGACGACCACGGATCAACGAAGGTTTGTGGAAGTTAAACGACAGTTTTATAGGCGATCCACCGCATGAGACACAGGGTTGGTACTCTGTGTATGATACCGATTTATACACTCGCGAAATTATCGAGAAATATGCCACAAAAATGAATGGAGTAGGTAAAATTATTTTTCTAAGACTTTTTTATGAAATATAATACTAGTTTTGATTTTAGGATTGATTTATGATGGCCCACGTCAAACTTTGCTGATTGCCATATACACAATGTTGAGTCTGTTGGTGAAAATAATATGACGAGTTTACACGATGTAACTGTGCTAATCATTTCACGAAACACAAATCAATCATTTTTGGAAAATGAAGGATTGGAAGAATATTCCATTTCAATGCGCAGTTCGCTCTTAAACTAATTTGTGACGTATAATGAGTAAAAAAATGAAACGTTCAATATTCTTCGTTATTCCTTACTAATAAAGATAGACAGCAACACTTCAAGTGCGGTTAGTGTATAATTTACTTAACAAGATATTTTACTGATGTCGTAAAAAACGTCATCATAGAGTCACAGCAACTAAATTGGGTTTTTTGAAAATTAAATCGCGAGGCAATTTTAAAAAATCTATAGTATGTGCTTTTTGCTCCAATGGTGTAGATGAAATAAAATAACTTTAGAAATTGAGATCCAAACAAGATATCTTGTTCCTTTTATTCATTCTACTTGAGCATCTTTATTATTTATACTAATTTATATTCATATTGGACGTAGGTTATGATTCAAGTCCATACGTTAATAGATAATGTTTAGAAGGTGAGTGTTTTGATTCTTGCTTTAGTAATAGCTGTTTGGCTTTTGACCTATGTTTTGTTTTGAGGCGATATATCTTTTTGGGTTTCCTATGATTGGTAGTTCCTTGTATTGGTTTAGAATTGGTTGAATGGGTGTAAGGTGTATCCAGAGTACGGTACTTGGTATTGTCTTTCTGTTTTATATTATTTTATTTACAATTCATTTTTTAAGTGTTATTCACTTGTTATTTTTACATGAGAGGAAAGAAGACATCTCTTAAGTGTTCTTACTAAATTATATAAAATTGAGTTTCGATAGCTCAGTGTTCGGTGAGGAAACTTGAGCCTAAAAGAATTTTTTCATTTTTTACATCAGAAGTATATTTATATTAGAGTTAGTACAAAACAGCTCGGTGATTGAGTTCTCGTATAGAAATAGAAAAGAAAATATATACAGAACGAAAAAATAGGAATCCTATAAAATCTTTGCGTAAGAAATCGTGATCATCTGTTATACTCGTTCTTCTGAATTAAGTGTTAACGCGTGCGGATTAGGCAAATTATAATTAGCTTAATAATATACAGATTAATTAGTTCTTTTTTTTCGAGCTTTTTATTGGTGGATATCTTGTCTACTATTTACTTCCATCCAATTAGAAGTAGAGATTTTTGTTAAAACGACTAATACCTTTATATATATACTATGTCGCACAAATTCCGCTTCTTTTAAATAGTCTTTGTTTTTCCACAATTTTAAACACTTATTGTATCAACAGTACCCATCGTATGCGTCCCGAAAATAAGAGTAACTCGAGTACTGCTGATAATTGGGAAAAGAATTTTGAAAACTGCATAGCCTTTGGAATGGCGAGGGCTCAAAAAAAATTCTCCAAACCAAATATCCTAGAGAATTTACGCCGTACAGAACCTAACTCATCCGACATCACGTTTTATCGCTGGGAAGTCCAAAACCGCGGCTGTAAAACTATTTCCCAACGCTTAGCATGCGAAACCGCATTTTTGCGTTGCTGATTGGTTGATCACGATGGTCTCATCTAGGCATGCATCGGTTACGGTTAGTTATTAACCGTAGCCGTAAATAACCGCTTTATAACAACCAAGTGTATACCTGGGTTTTAGTTCTTTAATATCGGTTTATATTAGAAGTAGACAGGATGATCTTTGTTCTGACGTTTTAGTACTTCTGATATAGTAACATGGATGCACTTCAAACCTGTATGGTACTCAAATTCATTAGATAAAATGCTGAGATTCATAATGAAAGGCGAAAGATTTTGTGTAAAAAAGCCAAATTACTTTGACAAATAGTGGTTCATGAGATATTTGTCGATGCCGCCACTTAACAGCCTTTTTGTGCAACGTAGTGTAGGCTGTCATTATAGCAGATGCACTGTAACGTCAGGACAAAGACCATTCTTGTCTACTTGGTATGTGGACTGGCGCTAACTGACTCATCGTTTCTATACCAGATTATGCACTTTGAATATATGGTAGGTAAAATGATATGCTACAAATTTTCTAATTAAAAACTTTATTTAATTTAGTAGATTCGACCAATCAATTTCATTTTACCTAACATATATGCATCTTTTAATCGCACAACAATCCATCAGTCCCCATACCAACTAAAAACCAGACATATACTAAATTGTTATAGAGCGGTTATTTACGGTTATGGTTAACCGTAACCGTTGCATACCTAGTCTCGTTATGATTATTGATAAAAAATAAACAGTGCTGTGGCCATGAAGAGAATCATCTAGTGTGTTTCAACGATAATCAATTCAAATCACTCTGACACTGCTTTCAAACTTATTGTGTTGTGAAATGATGGGCTAAAGTCTTGAATTTTTGTTACTAAAGATCGCAGATCTTTACCGTTTTCCTGTAAAATGTTATTCAAAAATACCTGAGAACATTCTTTTAGTTCTTCTCCAAATCGTTACTTGTTTTGGAAAAAACCTTGGAAAATCCGAAGGTTTGGGCGTTTTTCTCCTTTCCTATGCACTACGGAATCTTTATTTATACATATTCAGATGCAGAATTTCATTCTGCGTCCGATGGCGTACCATTCAAAGGATTTTAAAAGAAAATTTTCAGGTTTTTCCGAGATGTACTGACCGTTTTTGGCAAGAGGTCCCCGAGTGTTTTTCATCATCTCCCTAAAGATTCGACGACGGTTCATGGTAGTACTCTGGGTCTACTTCACGAAACTGTAGAGAGCCTTTCAAACGGACCATCTTCGGTTGCAAAAACCTCTTTGCAAAACGGCCGATGACGTATTGTCTATGCTTAAAGAATAAACTATTTCTAGAGAACGCTTAACTCAAACAAGTTCAAATTTGTGTCATGGATAGTACTCATACCAAGACAGCTCTGATAAAAATTTAAGCTCACTAGCATTTGATTTGACGGAATTATAGCGTAAGCAAAATTTTCGACTGGAAAATTGCAGTTTTTTCGGTATTTGACGACCATTTTTGCAAGCGCTCTAGCGTCGAGGAAAAGCGCTTTGGAAAAAAATGTCAAGAGACAAAAATGTTAGGACACATTTTTTTATCTGCTCTGAAAATTTGTAAAAAATTTGTGCAAGTTAATTGCGCAACTTAGTTCGTCCCTATCGTGCACTGCCTCGTATATAAAATCATTATAGTGCATCAGTTTTCGCTTATACGTTGAGGTATACCGATGACTTAAACACATTAGAAAACAAACAAAAAACATTTTCAATAATCTGATACAAACTAACAATAACACATTTAATCCTCAACCTGAAAGAATGATTTAAAATGCTCGATCTTTATCACTTTCAAGACTGTTCGTGTCCTATATCACAAATTTTTCCATAGAATAAATAGAAAAAATCGTGATCATAAAAATAAATATATCCAAATAATGTGTTAAGGGTAAACAACTGACGATGATTTTAGTTTTTTTTAACACTTATGCTTGTAAAGAGAAGTCATATTACAAAGAAATCGATACACTTTTTTTCATTTTATGTTATCAATCGAGATTTACAACAAGACGAAAAAAAGAGAAGAATTACGAATAATATACAACAACAAAATGAAACTGATTAAGACTTTTTCTTTTTTTTTGTATGTCCGCGAAATCCTTGTTCATTTTGACCACCACTATTTGGTTCATGTTTATTTCGTGGACGATTTTTAGCATTATGCGTTGAATAAAAATCTGAACCAGTTTTTTTACGTTTAGCTAAATTTTCTATACGACGACGTTCTTTTGAAGATAATTCACCTTTTTCTTCGTCGTTTGGTTCTTGTGGATGTTGTTGAACGGCAGTTGGTGGTGGTGAAGTGGCTACCGCCCCTGTTTCATTAATACTACGAGGTGGAATTTGTACATCATCATCATTCGTAACAACATTTGTTGCCATATCTAATTGGATTCAGTATTAAATAAAATCTAGAACAAAATAAAAGACATTTTGTGATTCTGAGAGCACAGAAATTTGTTCTAAAGAACGACACTGAGTAAGGAGATTTTACAGTGGAAATATCCGTTCTGAATAATTCGGCTACTCTTAAAAAGCATATACCCTTACTAAAATAAGTTTGTACTCTCCAAATATTTTTGACAAAATTTATTCTAAACTCTTTAGTGAAGATACCATTCAGATTTAGTTTCAACGCAGATAGCGCATATCATGTTGGTTTTGAATAGATCATTTTTCTAAATATTGTCTGTACTCTCTACTGTACAGAAACTAAAAAATTTTTTTCAAAACATCGTCCGTTAATCGTGAAAATTTCGTCACATGTCGGATTTTAGATATTTTACAAACTAACTGGCACGATTACACAGTTGTTTAGCATATGTATAGTGTCATATCGAAGTCCATATTATGCACGGATTTCTGAAATGTCTAACGGTAACATACAGTGTGTACGAGAAGTATTCGAACACTGTAGGAAGCTTATTATCTCTTAAAATAAAAGAGACAAGGGAATTATTCCTTTACCGTTAGATAGAGCGAAGTCTACTCTACATTTCTGTCCACTTGAAAACGTTTTAACGATCTTAGATGAGTCTTCTTTTATACTCAGTCGACTTTTTGAACGGAAAAAGTATTCGTACACATACTTTTCTCTATGGCTTTTGACATTTCTCAAAAAACGACAGATATTTCAAATAGACCATTTGAAAGAGCAAAGTTTCAGCTTTCTATTGAAAAAAGAATAATTAAAAAAATTTAACAATTATTTCTGATGTAGTTTTTCACGCTCTTTCTAACGATATATTTAGAATTGAGTTTTGATCAACTTTAACGGTCAGAGAGCGGATTTTAAATGATTTTGATGGTGGTATCCGTAATTTTTAATTTTGTGACCTTTAGAGAGCAATTTTTTTAATTATTCGTTTTCATTAGAAAGTTGAAATTTTGCTCTTTCGAATGGTCTATTTGAAATATCTGTCGCTACTTGAGAAATGTCAAAAGCCATAAAGAAAAGTATGTGCGCGAATACTTTTTCCGTTTGGCTAGAACTTTTTCAAGTGGCTAGAAATGTAGAGTAGACTTCGCTCTATCTAACGGTAAAAGAATAATTTCCATGTCTCTTTTATTTTAAGAGATAATAAGCTTCTTACAGTGTCTGAATGTTTCTTGCACACACTGTATGTGTACTGTCTATTCTTACGTGACGAGAGTTTGTATGGTGCATGCCTGCATGAGAAAATAAAAAATGTTGTGCAGTTTGATAATATCTTTTTTACAATAGAAAGAAAGAAAAGGAGAAAATTACTCACCTTTAGGTCCTTTTAAGGTGTATGAGAATAGGTCTCTTCTAAAAAGTGGATAGCCTTCGTTGAAATGGTGACGAAAAATGATAAGAAATAATTTTTTAAGGAGATCAGGAGCAATTTTGAAAGTTAGAAGTGTAGGGAAGTGAAAAAGGAAGCATTTCTAGTCATTTACATTCAGGCCATTTCCTAGCAGAAACCGTGTCCCGTCCTTTCAGTGCGTTTTTTGGGTGAAGGAAGTTGCTTAAATAAATCTAAACATGCTTCAGTGAGAGAAGAGATTTTGAGCATACAGAGTACAACATACGCTCCGATTCAAGCGTTGATGGTAAATCCTTTCTTTGTGAAGAACGTGGATCTAACGACAAGTGAAAAAGACATAATTTTATGAGTTTTACGTTGTTTTCTAACTTACTATTTTGAATTGCATCAGGATTTTGTCATGTTGCGGGCCCATTCCCCACCCAACTTCCTAAATAAATCGATGAGATCGTGACACTTCATGGAAAAAATCAAACATTTTCTTACCATGATTATTCGTTTTAGCATGTTTGTTTCTTTGTATTTCTGGCGGTATGTAAGCAGTTGGAGCCACAACACGAATTATCTGTATCCGATACATCTAAAACATAAACTTTCGGATACAAAGTTTTGAAAGAGATTTTTGTTCAACACTGTTCGTGGTGTTTTTGCTAAAAGTATTTCATGTACACCACGCTCCGAAGTATAAAGTAAAAAGCAAAAGCAATCTTTTCTAGCGTAATATAAAACGTTTTTCCTTTCTTCGCTTTTATACGCTGCAATAATCCATGGAAGTATTGTCGCTGCACCCCAACTTACATAAGTGCAGTCACACAAAGTTTTCAGTGCAAGTATTACCATCAGACTAAAACTCTATAGATGTAGCGCGTAACTTCCATGCACTGACAGTGACAGCTTCTCACATCATCATCCGTAAAATAATCATTGCAATTTAAACCGAGAGAATAAATTTATATACACAAGTGTGTTAGTCAGTTCATTCTATACGGACATTTTATAACTTGTTATATTTCTGATGATGAATAAAGTTTATTCGAAAGCTTAAATAAGTTTATAAATGATGAGTAGTCCAGCTGCAATCATACATGGTTTAATAATTGCAATATTATTTTGATTTTTTGTTGTTGTTGCTGCTGATTCTGTGTATGTTACACGACAAGCTCCTTTACGACATTCTTGATAAATGACATTAATAAAGTTTAGCATAAAGTTCGTCTTCAGTACAATCTAAGACGCAAGCTTTTTTCTATTTTCACTTCACCTCCTTTTTCCAGTACAACTTCTTCCGAGTATTACCAAAGCCATGACCGCAACCTGAGTACCTTCTTCCATATTAGTGAACAAATATAAATATGCACCTAATGCACTTACATAACTTAAGTAGAAATTTTCTACTTGAGAGTGTTTCATAAAAATTCTTAAGTGCTCAACTTAAATAGACTTAGTTAAGTCGTTCGAGAAATTAAGTCAAATCTTAAGTTTCACTTACCCAGGTCAAAGAATCTTGCTGTAAGCTCTTATAAGATTCTTGTACGATTCCATGTAATTTCGTAAGATTCGTATAAGAATTTGTAAGATTCTATAAAAAACATAGAAACTGATTCTTGATGTAAGATCTTATAGTAAAATTTCATCAGATTTCGTAAGATTCTTTCATGATTTTTATAAGATTTATAAGATGAATCCGTTTCTATGATTTTCCATAAGATTTTATAAGATTGTGTAAGATCTCGATCCGGCTTTTTGACCTGAGTAGTCTAGGAATCTCTTTTACTACTGCTGATTTTAACCTTAGTTGTCTTTATTTTGCTCTTTTATTATGTATTACTCTTTGTGTTGTTTGGCTTGAGTCATTGCTATTACAGGTCAGTGACCTTTGATGACTCTCACTTTTCGTGAATAAACAGTCTTAGTATTAGGGTCCTACAAAACGGTTATCTGGGTGCAAAATACGGAAAAATGGCTGTCAGATATTCTATGGATTAGCCAACCAGAAGTGAAAAATAAAAAATTCCTTTCTGAACACTGAGAGAGAAAGTATTCAAAGAGATGGTTCAAATATCTACTGATGAAGCAAGAAAAAAAGCGAAGGAAAATCTTTTTGTAGCTTTGAGATAGATGTCGCCAGAAACCACCCAATTTTGATAACACAAAACAGCTATCTACAGATAATAAAACTTACAGAATATTGACATAATTAAACAGATAATTTTAAACGTTTTTCTACGAGTTTTCGAAGCTTCCCATTTCATCAGCAGATAAAATCTATTCGTAACAAGAGTAAAAACGGAGTATATATAGTGTGCGTTGTCTTGAATTTAGAAATGTTTTTAGAGCTCAAGGATCTTTAGATATAATCTTTAGAAGTATAATCCAACTTGTTTAATATGATGCATCATATCAGTTAACGCACTTCCTAATGATAAGAGTTAGTGTTGTATTTCGGCTTGTCCAAACGTAACTCCATAGGCGGCGCGCCATAGTAGCGAGGGGTAGCAACAGAAAGTTATTGCTACCCCTAATAACACATATTCTGGGAGTTGTTAGAAGAAGTGGGAACTGGGAGTTGTTATTATGTATTAAAATTATGAGTTTAAAAAATTTATTGCTACCCTTAGGAACTTTAACTTGCGCCCTCTACGCGTAACTCTGTTAAGTTTTTGGCGCACTTTTTCTCAATGATCTCGAAAAGTTTGAGAGCTAGAAAGTTCGTTCAAACGCCATTCGACACAGCTCATTATACTCTACGTATGCTATAAAAACGAAGTTTTTTGGTTGAAGTCTGGAGCTTCGAGAAAGTCTTTTTCATTGAGTAACGCTGTTACATAAAAAGACTCTAAATTCGAAGTGCTCTTGCTAAAGTTCTAATTTCCTGCGAAAGTCGTTCTTCAAATGAAATATCTTTAGAGCAAATTTTGTAGAGCATCGAACGAGCTTTTCAGCGGTAAAAAAGATTTTCTTCTAACTATTTTTACTCGCGTAAAAAAAGCAAAAAACAAACGTAACGCTGTTCAACATTTTTTTGTCACACCATTTTAGGGCACTCAGCGTTCTTCAAACAAGTCCATACTTATAGCTTGAGTACTTATAGCCTTCCTGAACATACACCATTTGGAAACAAAGTTCCAAAAGATGCCTCAGGCTCTTAAATCGAGTCTGGAGTTCAAACTTGCAAGCAGCCCTTATGTCTCGAATGAGAAATATTTCTCAGAACAAAACTAGCCATTTTATAGAGAATTGAATTCTCTATCCGACAGTATATTTTAAAAATTATTTTACGAAAATCTCTAGGTCAGAAAGTTAAAATTAAAGTTTTCAATTATTTTAAATTTAAAGTTTTTAATTGAAAATTCAGTTTTTTTCAAAATAAAGGCCGAATTCGTGATCAGCATGAAAAAATACCTCTGGTGATGGGCTCCTATCGACTTCCCGATAAAAAAAAACTTGATCAGGGAAGTATCGCGTTATGTGGACAAGCCGATTTGTGTTCATGTTCCTCTCCCAATATAACTCTATATAACTTATAAAAAAGAATGAATAAGTGTGAACGGATGAAGAGTCTCGTCGCAGTAGCGAATCTTCCATTTTATCAGATGTAGTGGTGATTATGTTTTAGTGCCTTATAGTCATTTGTTCAATCTCAAATTCTTCCTGTCTCTTTTTTTGTTCATATCACACACTATGCTCAATTTTATGATGAATTTCAACGAATAACTATACTATACCACTTGTGTTATTATTCATATTAAATCAATATTATTTTCAAAGAAAAAAACTCGTGTCGAGACTCACAGTCCCAGTGACGAAGAACATGCGAAAGCTGAAAGATTCCGACCTCTTGGTTTGCGCGTAAGCAGCATTTAATTGAAGTTTCAAATGAAATGTAGTATTTCTGATGACCAATGGCGTTTGCCATCTCGTGATCGTCGGAAAGTATATAAAAACGGTATAGACTTTTTCTTGTTTTGTTAACTATTGATGCAGTACTCTTTCTTATACTACGAATCATTCATTATAAACGAATACAAAAGACTAACAACTGAGATTTGGACTGTAACCGCCCATTTTGCGAAGAAACAGTTGACCGTGTGAATCTATAATTGATCAATTACAAACAACAAACATGCTGGTCGCACAGCGTTCGTCAAGTTGATGCCTAGTTTATCTCAAGTCAGTGATCGATGCGTTCCGCATTAAACGTTGATCTAAACTGTTTATTAATGATGATCGTAAAACCTGGCAACCTATCTTTGTAGAGAATTTCATTCTCTATTCAAATATCGAACAATTAAGAACTGAAACCTCATACTTTTAAAGTTATAGATTTTCCAAATTTTGTTCCATATTGCACTCGTGTTTTGGAAAAAAATAATTAACGAATCAACGATTTTGGAAAATCATGTCACAGATCGATAGAGAATTTATTAATCTATCAAACAAAAATAAAAGTAAAGGTAAGTATCAATTATTGGTTCATTTATGGCAAAAACGAGCATCTGTGTATGATATGGATAAAATAAATTGACGAATTAAATGCATTAAAAGAAGTATTAATTCAACTGGAGGAAACAATAACTGATTTAAAAGCATTATTCATGACGACCAAAAATAATGATAATAAATTCGAAGAATCAGTAAGTAAAGATTAACTGACACTGACATATCGGGTAGTGCAATGGAATCAGACTTTTATGCTTTTCTCAATATATTTGTCAAAGTTTGCCATCGTTTTAATGTAGGGATGAGACAGTTGTCGTCTATAGAAACTGATGAAAAAAAGCTGATCGTCTGCTCCTCTTCAGAAAAAAACAGTAGTTATTGTGGATATATGTTTGTTCATAATTTTTCAAATTTCCAAAATATTTTTCAGTTTCAAGAACAATTCTTCAAAATTTCATTTTTGTAAATATTCTGCAAATATCAACTCAGCAATAACAATAGTTCTATGCAACTACAATTAATCGATCTTTCAAATAAAGATGCTCGATTAAAAAAAAGGTGTTACACCAGAAGATCTACCATTACAGAAAAGAATACGATTTATTAATAATCATCATCATCCATTAATGTTTGTAAATGCTGGAAAGGGTAATGAACATGGAGTAATGAATATGGATCAAATCTTCATAATAATCATAAAGTTAGTTCAATTAGTTTGAAAAATAATTCAAAAACATTATTACCAAAGTTTAAAGCACATATCTTACATCGGATATTGGCGTCATTACTTCTTTTAGGTGAATCTAGGAGTAAGTCCCCTTGATTGAAAACAGTTTTTCAATTCTTCAAAACGATCTGTCTCTAAATATGAATGATAATTAGATGATATATCAAATGTTTCTTTCATAAATAAGTCCTTTCGATTAAAATAATAATAATTGATCACTAATTAACTGTTAGAAGGTCGTATTAATCTTTAAATGATACGCTACTGCTCCGCGAAAATATTTAAATCAGCCGCACTACATGTAAACAAGGATACTTTTTCGTTCCGGAACCTTGTATACTAAATGCTTTGCGACCAAAACGCTTTTTTTGATAAAAAGAAGCTTCACTACTCATAACATTCAACTATACTACTACGCCTTTTAGCGGTGTAAATAAAAAAAGTAATCTTTCTATAATTAAAAAATATTTTATTTAAAAGCATCTATTATACAAGCTTCCGGAACGAAAAAGTATCCTTGTGTACATGTAGTGCGGCTGATTTATACATTTTGCGGAGCAGTAGTATATCATTTAAAGATTAATACGACCTTCTAGCAATTAATTAGTGATCAATTATTATTATTTTAATCGAAAGGACTGTTTTATGAAAGAAACCTTACATCTGATATGTCGTCTAATTATCATTCATATTTAGAGACAGATCGTTTTGAAGAAAACTGTTTTCAATCAAGGTGACTTGCTTCTAGATTCACCTACAGAAACAGTTATATTTGTCTACACTGTACGTCATTCCGACAAAACATACATCGCTCTCACTTACTAGATAGATATCAGGCATTCTTGACAATGAACTATGCAGCTCCAAATTATGGTGTAGCTCCTGTGGTAGCCAATCCCGGCACTTCGAAGCTAACTATTGGAATAATTACCGGTGTAGCTGTTTGCTTATGTGGTATACTAATACTGGGGGCAATTGCTATTGCTCTTGGCGTTGGACTGGGTGTTGGATTACACAAAAGTAGCAAAATCACTGCACTTAGCGCACCGACCGTCAGCTGTTCAAGTAGTTCCGCGACATGTGGTTGCCCTCAAATTCAACCCACGTTCGAGACACGAATAACTAGCGGTTCCACGGCAACTGCTAATTCATGGCCATGGATGGTAGCTCTATATATTAATGGGAGTTTTAGATGTGGTGGTAGTCTCATTAATCTTCAATATGTATTAACGGCTGCCCATTGCGTTGTGAGCAGCACTACATTGCTTAGCACAAATACGATGCAGGTGTATGCAGGGATTCAAAGTTTAAGTCAGATAGCTTCAGCAGTAAGTGAAAGTGTAATGAATGTTACGCTATATGCAACAACAAGTGCGTCTGATGTGGAATTATATGATATTGCCGTTCTGAAATTATCACAGCCCTTCACCGGAGGTAGCACTGTAGCAACTTGTTGTTTGCCACCGTCAGGTAGTGTATTACCAACAATCGGTCAAACTGCCGTTATTATAGGGTGGGGAAAGACTTCTTTTTTGGCTACTGGCATATCCGATACTTTGCAAGAAGGTCTGATTCGAATTACTGCAGGTTGTAGTTTATCAGATACAACGACACGTTTTTGTGCTGGTTATTTAACAACTGATGCATGCCAGGGTGATAGTGGATCTCCTCTCATGACTAGTTATAATAATAGTTGGACCTGCACCGGGATAGTGAGTGAAGGTACGGGTTGTGGTTCATCAGGAATATACACACGAGTCAGTTATTTTAGAAGTTGGATTGATGCACGGATGACATAGACACGTTGATATAAGCTTCATCAAATAGATACGTTAACGATCATACCATGTTGCTTAAGAGTAGTTCGACGTATGCTATGAGAGTCTTAATAAACTGGAGAATGCCAGTGGTCACCGACTTTGGACTAAAGTGACGACAATTATGGATTTTAAGTGAAAATCCTGAGTATTCAATTTTTGAGAAAATCGAGGAAAACTGGAAAAATACAGACTAGTCTACGTTGTTTGGGCCAACACTGTAGAAGCTTCACCAGTATCTCATTTTACGGAGAATTGAAGGAGCTATCCAATGATATGGTTGAAAAGCTTCTGAGATAAACTTTAAGATCAATAAGTTTGCTAGAAAACCCGGTTTTCAGAATGTATATTTTGTAGCTCGTGAAACTCTGTATCGGGTGATATATAAAATGGAGTGGTTAACGATAAAATGGCCGGATAATGTAAGCGATGAACGCTGTTGCCCTATGTATTTGTGGATGTCGGGGCTAGTACTTCTAGTATTCATCCAGACCCAATTCGATCTCAGTATTATATATGTATCATTTTGTAGCTCGTAAAATTCTCTATCGAGTGGTATACAGTAGTTGAAGTTTGCTTTGAGCAAAGAGAAGACATGAGAAAAATACTCTAAATAAAGTTCATATAACGAGGGAACCGTTCGAAGTGCCGCGCTCCGATTTTTTCTGTTCATAAACTGAGTAAAATCACATTAGTGCAAGAAAAAGTATACAAAAAGCACAACAAGTTAAAGTTATATTAAACACATATTGATTTATATCAGGGACTGTTATGGACACAAATTTTCCGTCCATGGGCGCTCGTCATCTCAGAAATGTTTCGATCTATGAACTCGGTCCACATACTCCCATGGACGTCCGAGTCCATAATAACATAATTTCGTGTTTTTTAGTCTTTTTATTCTCAAGTTCAGTCTTGATTACTCAAAAGAAAGAGAGATGAAGATGGATGTTGACCAAAAAGCTCTGATATCATAGAACTTCTTTCTCTTCCTTTATAAAAAAGGTGCATTATGATTCACGATCCATCTCCTGGCAGACACTTGTACGTTCCTGGATGTTGATTCATCATGACCTTTTAAAAAGAGACTGTCTATATTTGTCTATATCCATGGACGCAATGTTCCCGTCCATGGAAGCCCGTGGACGACCCTCTTAAAACTTTTTCGGTCCATGGGCGTCGTTGGACGTTCGAGTCCATAACAGTCCCTGATTTATATTTACCGGCACTAAAACACAAAATATCACGAGATCTCTCGAGAAAACATCATTTCACGATCAACAATATAAACAGCATCTTTATCAAGAGGGAAAAAGCGGAATAGGCTGAAACAGACCATTCCATACCATTCCAAAGACGCTTTTTTCTCCTTGATCTTTAGTCAAAAAATCATAATGACCACGAAAATCACAACTACAAAGTGTTAGTTGCGTAAATTAAAAAACCTTTACTATCTGAGTTAGTTAAACGAAGCAACAGCTCTGCTAAACCTTCATAGAATCGTGAAAATCCTCTTCGATTTTTCTTATATCCATAAGAGGTCGCTAGATTTAACGGATCTTGTAAGAAAAAATCAGAAAAATGATCATAAAGAAAAATCCTTGAAGGCAAATCCTTTTGGGGTTTGTCATACTTCACCAAGATCTACTTGCGGGCAAAATATCAGCTGGAAAGTCGTTTGGCACTTGGGGAGGTTCCCACGTACATGTTCGATTGAATGCATACTAGAGGGAGAGTAAACAAAAACCGGACAATGACCAACCGGAGAAAGAGAGAACCAAAATGCTTTTTTACAGAAAAGTAGAAATACGGTTTTATAGAAAATCAAAGGGTTTTGTGATTAAGTAAACACCTGTTTGGTTGTGTAAAAGAAGACGTTTTTTCTAACCCATGTCGGTTTATGGTTTTGTTGAAGAATCAAAGTTGGCTCAGTGTAAGCTTAAAATTAGTTCATTTGTTGTTAATTAAAAATATAGATTAGGCTAACGAGAAAGCCTTTCCAGGTGCTGAACGGCTTTCGAGCTGATATTTTGTCCGCAAGTAGACCCTGGTGAAGTATGAGTAACTCCAAAAGGGCTTATCTCCAAGGATCTTTCTGTATAATCATTTTTCTGATTTTTTACCTTTAGAACAGTATTTCAGTATGAATTTAGTATTTAATTAAAAAAAAAAAGTCAATCTCTATATCGTCTTTCCATATTTATTTTCCTTTCGCTTTGTCTCGTCTTAGTATACAACATAGCAAATCAAGACACTTTTCAACTGGATGATTTGGGACAGGACAATATACATCTGGTACCTACAATCTGGCATTATCTTTTTGGGACGAAGTCTGTCTTTTCGGGAACCAAGAAAAAAACTGTTTTACGTAGATTGCTGCTTTTATCCTACTTCACCATTTTTTTCGTTCTGTAATATAGAGATAGATATATCATGTCTTTTTCTCGGAGTTTCCATTAATTTTTGCTAAACTCACAGCCACCGTTTTCTCTTATTGAATAGTTCAGTAATGTTTATTTATAAATGTAGTGAACATAAGAGAAAAATACAGAAGACGTTTAAGAAGCGATTTGACACAAGCAGGATAAAGCCATAGCATGGCAAAACTACTGTTTCCTGGAACCGTTTCCATTCTGAAGAACATGCAAAATTAGGTATATCATTTTACACCTTGAAACTGTTTGTTCGCGGAGAAACTCAATTTGTATCAACAGCCTTATGGAATTGTTCGACAAACTCACCTTTCGTAGTTTTCATATTGCGTCACTAGTGTTTACTCAAGTCTTTTGACTAACCTTTCGGTTGAAAGAGCGTTAAAAACTGAACAAAATGGTGTACTTTTACGAATAAAGCTTCTATTTGAAAAAAATTAATTGATCGATCTCATCATGCTCGATATGAACGCTAGCTGTGCGAGATGGTTCAACATGCATACGTTGAACCTTGCAAGTTGAGATGATAAAACATGCACATTCACAACTTGATTACAAATGCCATAGTTGAACACATAACATGTACATAGGATTATTTGCCAATTGAAATGTACGATCCAGAATCTTAAAAAAAGAATTAATGCAGCTCGACTTCAGCAAATTCCTCATCTGAAGAAGTCAAGACAAATCTCAATATATAACATATTCACTTTTGTAATTATCTGATTCTCTGATTAACCGAGATCTTTATTGATCGTTATCGAAGTGAATAATCATTCCATTTTCCTGATTGGAAAAAAGTCATATTGAAAAGTGTCTAATGTCGGGTCGCTCAGATGCCGGTCGTTAAAACGTCGGTTGATAGATTCTCTGGATCTGTCGCATACCCACATGTGCTAGTAAACTTTACTGCTAAACTTTTCAAAAAAATATTAGAAGAACCATCTGTTTAGACATTCTTTTAAGGCTCTAACTTTCAATACGTTTTATTACTAAAATTTAATCACAAAAATTATGTGATTCATCTACTCAGATGAAAAAAAATTAATCACAGAAATCAGTATGTTACATCTAGAATTGACATCTACGGCACCTGAAATCATAATTAATAACAGGAGTAGCTAAGTAATCTTTCAATAATTAAAAAATATTTTCTTTACACTGCTAAAAGGAGTGAATGGTAATTGAATGTTATCAAAAGTGAGGCTTCTTTTTATGAGAAAAAGCGTTTTAGTCGACAAGCATCTATTATACAAGCTTCCGGAACGAAAAAGTATCCTTGTTTACATGTAGTGCGGCTGATTTAAATATTTTCGCGGAGCAGTAGTATATCATTTAAAGATTAATACGACCTTCTAGCAGTTAATTAGTGATCAATTATTATTATTTTAATCGAAAGGACTTATTTATGAAAGAAACATTTGATATATCATCTAATTATCATTCATATTTAGAGACAGATCGTTTTGAAGAAAACTGTTTTCAATCAAGGTGACTTGCTTCTAGATTCACCTACAGAAACAGTTATATTTGTCTATACTGTGCACCATTCTGACAATCGCAAAAAATACGAGCGAATTTCATTGTTATTTCACTAATTTCGAAAAAATTGAATTTCTCGGCAACTAAACAAAATTTTCCATAAATTATACTTGACTTTTTCCCACAAGTATAGCGATCGGAATTAGGTAAAAGAAAGCTTTTTATCTCCTAAATCCTCGGACTAGATAGGTCTGCGAAATTGACTAGCGGCTTCTTTAACTTTCTGCTCGCGTTTCGCAGATTTTGGGCTCGCTTGAGCTTTTAAATTCTTAAAATTAGCTTTCAAGACAACGACATACTCAGCCGTAGGCTAAGGGTATGCCATGACCCGCCTCTTAGAAATTTCGTTTCTTTGAATTGAAATCGAAAATAAAAATACTACACAAGAACCGTTTTTTACTCTTTTCCTTGGTCAAAAAGTTTTTGAATGATTGAAATTGGCTTTTTCCTAGGCAATTCGATGAGCTTTATCTAACCATGGCAAAAAGAATAGAAAAACATGTGAATTTCCTGCACCCCTTTACACTGATTTATTTAGTACTAAAACGATCTCTTTTTTGGCTATTATCGAGGAAGAACCTTCTGATAAGTTCACGGAAGACAAAAGAGCCTAAGAGATACTTCAATCGAACTTTTGAAAAATGAATGTAAAGTACTTTAGCTTTTGGAAAGGTCTTCAAAAAATCTTCCAAAGTAAAACAATATGTTTTACTAATTTTAGGTACAGAATCATATTGAAAAGGTAAAATAGAGTAACACATAATTAAAATGTCGTTTAGTTCCCCTTTTGAAGAGGACTCTTTGGGCTATCTACTCATAGAAAGAAACTAATATATTTCTATGTTAAATTTTCGAGTTATAAAATTGTTTTCCAAAAAGTACTCAGAAAACGAGTTTTCAAGAAATAATTTTAAAAACGCTTTACTTATAAAATGATGTTGTCAAATCTCAGAAATCGAATGATAAAAACCAGAAGTCTCTACCATTTTATGTTTAAGAGTTATTTGG